ATATGTATTATTAATTTTATTATTCACCAATTTTTATTGCAATATTAAGTTTAAAATACTCCTATATACTCCGTAGACTGACCTGTCACTGCTGTCAGCCATTCATTGATCAAAGCCAATGGAGTGAATGGACCAGTGACCGCAAGGTCTAATACTCTAATTAACGCGCACCTCTGAGTTGGATGTCAAGAAATGGCGCCGGATCATTGGGTGGAAAATGCAGGCATATTTTCACTTCGTAAAAATATAGGACACTAGATAGTTGGGGGTGCAAGATCTTTCTTGCTCTCATTTTTATCTGAAAATTTACTGGCTGTACTGCAGGAGCACCTTATGTCAGTGCAGGGCATATCGCTATCATTAAAGAACCGCCATTTTTATCTACTTGGCACTTCAAGCCTAGGTGCGCGTTAATTAGACCTTGTGGTTAAGTGCCAATCAGTGGTTTAGTCAGCGTCATGGTGGAACTGGAGCAGCACGAAATGTTTATTTGAGACAAGGTTGCTGTGGCATGGTCACATTTCAGAAGAAGTGATTTCCTCAGATCTCAGTATCCAGGTACATATTATATCAGTTTGTTGATAATTGCTGGAATACATAGAAAGAAGAGGCTACATCAAAGAAGTGTGAGACAATTTTGTAGCAATATGAAGATATATAAAACTTCAAGACTTTCTTTCTCTAGCTTGAAGATGTAGTATTTGATGCTGTTAATCAAGTAAGTAGCTAAATGTGATGACAGTGTTTGCTTGACGGGAAATACTGTACTGCCGGGGGCCTGGGGCAGCAAATAATTGATGATGGCTGCTGATACGTATAGCCCACCAGTATTTCCAGCAATAATTACATGTAATTTTAGTCATTGATTATTACAAGTGTGACCACATGGGGGTAGACAAAATTTTAAGGATAAATGTAACTTAGTTTACTAGAGGAATAGGGGTCGACAGTATTGTATAGATTATACAAAAAATTTTACTGTATCAGTATTCAAATTTTGGATTAAACATGAATGCTGATGTCACTGTCTTATATAGACTACATTGAATTGAATTGAATTACGGATTTACACCTCATGAGGTGGCATGATATTAATTTTAAAAAATTTTTTATTATACATATACATGAAGGTTGGACCCACATATGGCAGAAAAACTATGACAGGGCTTTTGGCTTCTAAAGGAATTAGGGTCAGTCAAGTTCGAGTTGGACAGTCATTAAAAGCTGTCGGCCCATTGTATCACTTGGCCAGGTGCTGTTCCACTTCAAGAAAATTTAATCCAGCTGTGTACACAGCTAGTAATTTTGGCCACAAGTTGCATATAGATCAGAATGAGAAGATATGCATGTATGGAGTGACTCATGTTGCTGCTTTTGATGGCTATAGTGGGATGATAGTTGGTTTCGTTGTAATGGCAGTAAAGAACAATATCTTGAGTTATGAGCACTTATTTAGGTAGATATGCGTGTATTAGAATATGCTATTTTTAACTTCTATAGGAGATTGTTGTTTGATTATGGCATGTGGGATCAACTCAGAGTTGATAAAGGACGTGAATGGTTTTTGATATTATTTATACAAGAAAAGTTGTGTAACTTACGTGGCAACACTTCAGTTCCACCATATTTGCAATCTTCATCACAAATGGTTTGTGTATATACATTTATAACCATACTGTTATTAGTTTAGATAGAATCATGCTATTAAAAGAATATGGCTGGAAGTCAATAGAAGGGTAAATTATCCTGTGAAGAAAGCTTTAAATGAAATGCTGGAGATTGAACACAAAAATCTAGATGATGCTAGTCAGAAGTATTGAGTTTCATAGTACTCACTTCAGGTGGCCTCTGTAGGTTCATCAATGGTTGTTGCTGCATGGAACTGTCACCCAATACCTGGTATGAATGTTTTTATGAGAATGAGATTTCAGTTTGCTTTATAGGTAAGAAAGGAATACCTACTCAAAGAATGCTGGAGAAAAACTATGTATCTAAACTGAATGATTTAAAAGTTGTTCCTTCTGTTGATGATGCCGTAACACAATATGAAGATAATGGTGGTAATTTAACCATATGGAGTCAGTTTGGAATAGATCCACTGTCTTCCAATGCCACATTGCTCTCTGAAAGGCAATGACTGTTTAGCGCCAAGTATCCAGATTTTTCTAGCATCTTTTATTCATTGGTTAATGATGATGCAGTCAAAGTAAATGAAGGGAGGGTCTTAAAATAAAAACTTATAGGCTAGTCCCGGTGGGCTCAGTAACCAGACCATTTCCAGCCTACAGTCACTGTGTAGAGTTAAGGAGTGTTTAATGGACATCAGCGTTAGAGATGTACCTAGCCATAGCACTTGGATTGTCCCTATTCACAACATAGAGGAAATGAAATTACTATTAGCTTAGAGCAACGCTGACCGCGCCTATTTTCAGGCGGGACAGAACTGTCCCTCATAGTATTAGGAGGCTAGGCCTGTTGCAAATCCAAGATCTAAATTTACCAAACTTTGAGAAGTCGATCACGGACCAGGTCCTTGATTTCTGATTATCACGTTTTCTTGTGGCTGGAATATACACGGATCGAAAAATGTTTTTGTGTATAGAAGCCAGTTTCCTTTGATATTAGCTTTTGCTGTTACCATACACAAATGCCAGGGAAAGTCACTAGATAATACAATCATTGATCTGTCTGACAATGTCTTTAGCACAGGGATGGCTAATGTTGCTCTATCACGAGTAATAACACTGTCTGGTGTCCATTTGACATGTTTCAACTCCAAATCATTGATGGTTTCCTCTTGTAGCATAAAAGAAATAAAAAGGTTGAGACAGTTGTACAGGCCAGACCTCCCACAATATGCCAATCCTACAGATTGTGGCAGTAGAAAGTGTACACTTACTGGAACTATTGATGAGCCACAAGCAAAAAATCAAAAAAATGCCACCACCAAAGGTGACTCATCATAAAAGTAGGCCATCACACAGTAAGATTAATGATAAAGCTAATTGCCCCAAAAAGCCACCTGCTATTATTACTACTATTAATAATAATGACGATAGTGATGACTGTGTGATGACGGGAATGAGTACAAGAGCTAGTAATTTAAAATACCATCCCCCCAATGCTGCTACTCAAAAAGTATGGTGTAATGCCCTAAGCTTGGGATTTGTTAAATCATATAGACCAAAGTTGGGTAGCCCAACCACAGAATTTACTGTATCCAAAGGATGTACCTGGTGATAGTAATTGTTTATTTAATGCTCTGTCTCATGCCATTACATGTTCTTACATTCAGCAAAATTTCATCAGATCGGCCATTATTAGGCACATGTCTACAATGGAACATCAGCTACGTAGTTGGCTGGCTCCCAATAATTCAGTGAAAGAGTATATTGCTGGAGAAGGTATGGATGAGAATTATACTAGGGAGGGAGATGTCACAATGGCTGTTTTACTGAATGTACACATATTCTCCCATAATGAGTTGGGGAACGAATGGGTACATTATTTACCACTTACACGTAATGCTGATCCTAATGCACCAGCAATATAGTTAACCCTTATTAACTTGAACCATTATTGTGTAGTTATATCAATAGCAGATAAAAGAATTTCCAATACTAATAACAGTGGTGATGAAAATGCATGTGATGATGACAAAAAAAAGAAAATAAAAAGAGCAAAAAGAATGATAATTAGTGAGACAGCATAATATTCATTGCCGTAGCTTATAACAAATAATTTTAAGAGACAGTGTCGTAATGGCCATAAATTTGTATTGGCCATAGATTAAAATATTTAAAGAGCAGTGTCATACTGGCCATAGCTTTTAATGACTATTAATTTAATGAGACAGTGTCATATTGGCCATAATTAATCACAGTAAGACAGTGTCATAATGGCCATAACAATTAATGATATTACATGACTAATGAACTAGACAATGTCATATTGGCCATAACAATTATTAATGATTATACATGATTAATGAACTGGACTCTGTCATGTTGACCATTATAATCTATGACAAAGTGTGATTGTTGAGACACTGTAAAACATATCTCAAGACATTGTTTATTGACACCGCTGTATGGCCATCTTTTTCTCCTAATTACATTTGAATTGCTTTACATTTCATACTGTTTTAGTTACAGCACTGTTTAATATCAAACTGGAAGTGACTAGTGCTTTGTGGACAATATCAACAATACAAGGAAAGTTGATGTTAGGGTGGATCTTATGGTTTTTATTACTGATCCAATATTACTGACAGATAGCTATATGTGCTGTATTGTAAATTACATGATTATATTTTTTTTCCTATAGTATGACCATGTATCAACTTGAGAAACATTGCACAAGCACATGGAACAAGCAGAGGACTAAATATTATTTGTTTTGTATATGTGACCATAATTGACAAAAGGGCCCTTATGGCGGATTTTAAAATTGATCTTAATAATGGCAAATATCAACCTGTGAGTGCTTTGTTAGACAATCATGGTTTCTAAAAGTTTCATGGTAACTTTTTGCATCCTGTGGAGTAATTTTATGATAAATGGGGCTCAGGAAGTTGGATTTCTTAGGCTAGAAAGACAAATTTCACTACCCGCCATAAGGTACCTTTTGTCAGTTATGGTCACATATACTACAGTGAGAATGGTTAATATTCCTTTCAATCTTCAATAATAATTAATCTATTGATTCATTTAGGGAGTCAGGTTACTAGCTGGGCTTGCGCATTATGTTTTATCAACTTTAACCACCAGAAAAAATGCGTTCTGTAGTCAAAAAAGTGTAAATGAAAATGATCTAAAGAGGAGAAAAGTTGTCTTGTAAACTGTAAGGATCACTTGTATTGCTGACCAATCAGATGCTAGTTGCATATGCAACTAGCATTGCATTTGTCTGGTATACAAATAATCCGATTTTGTAGCATAAAAAGAGACACCAAAATACTAGTAAGATTTCACAGTTCAAACCAAGCCAAAGTTATAGTGATGTCGGACCAAGACAAGGCAGCAGTGCTAGCTAATGCTGGCTACAGTCCAGAAGATTTGAAGGAGATTGTGCCGAGTATGAGGAACAACAGCAAGGCAAGACGGCTCCTGGGCCCACTTTTGCTTGGATGGTCCTCACACTGGTACACAATCATTGCAGGACCAGACCAGTCAGGTGACGAAGCTTATTGCTGCACAAAACAATGCAGCAAGAAAAAGTAGAAGAGGAGAATTAAAAAGAATAAGAACAACAAGAAAAACAACAACAAGGACAACAACAGCAACAAGATGCCGAGCGGCAAAGGGAAGTTGATGCCAGCGGGCCTCCTACTAGTAGACAGGGTTGAGGACGTAGAGGACAAGGAAGAGGAGGACAGAACTGGAGGAATAGCAAGCAGATTACAAAGCAGCGTTGGACAAGGAAGCAGTGAAGAACAAGGAAGCGGCGGAGGACAAAGAAGCAGCAGAGGACACGGAAGCGGTGGAGAACAAGGAAGCAGTGGAGAGCAAGGAACTGGAGGACAATAAAACCGTGGAGAGCGAGGAAGAGGAGGACAAGGAAGAGGAGGGCGAGGACGAGGAAGGCAACGACGAGGAAGAGGATGGCGAGGATAAGGAGGGTGACGACGAGGAAGAGGACGAGGAAGCAGAGGGCAAAGAAGAGGACATTAAACTGGGGTCATGGCCACAGCAGCAAATGTTACTGCAGCAGCAGGAGGCCTCACCACCCATGCTACTAATAATGTGAACTTAAAATTAAGACTGAACTACACTACAGAGATTATTATCATTGAAAACAAAGGCAACACTATAATAATAATTATTATTATCATTATTACAATGAAATTAGAATTTTAAAAATACATGAAGTCCAAATTACTTTTGCATACAGCCAACATGATACACTGAAAAAAAAGACAATTAAGTTCATACAGAATTTATAAAATACTGAGGATTTAGCAATCTGCAACTACCATCAACAAGAGTAATATTAAAATATAAAAAATTAATACAAACAATTTATTACAAAAATTAAAAAAAAAGATTGAGTACCATTCACTCTGTATCAATTTATCAAAAAAGGAATGGCAACAAGAACTAGTAGGATTCCAAGCAAGAGATTATTCCAAACGTCTGATTATACCCATACGAAACAAAATATGAAATCAAAATCCTACTCCGCGACGCTAATTCTTCTCTACGTTATATGGTGGTTTGTATTTCCTTACATTATTATCACATTAAAAGTAGAATGTAGAGTAGAATTAGCGTCGCGGGAGTAGGATTTTGATTTCGTATTTTCTTTCGTATGGGTATAGTCAGTCATTTGGAATAATCTGTCATTTGGAATTCTACTACTTCTTGTTTCCATTACTTTTTTGATAAATAATTATTGATACAGAGTGAATCCTACTCAATCTTTGTTTCAATTTTTGTAATAGCACTTAGTTTTAATTGTTTTTTGGATCACTAGGTATTATTGCTGATCTGACAATTGAATAATACTTTATACGAATCAACAAATCGACTACAGAAGCAATATTAATTTAATTTTTATTCTGGCGTCAACTTGCAGGCAACTTGACTTAATTTATATAGAAAGAGTTTACTATAGAAAAATTAGATAATTTAAATTTATAAGAAGGATTTTTGGCCATTTTCTAGGAAAGCACATTGAGAAGCAGGTGTCTTTTAACTTTTTCAATAAGACAATAATCTGAGCAATGTCATTCATCCACTTTTTGTTTCTTGTAATTGTTGCCAGTAATGCACCAGCTGATTGTGCAGTTTTGTTACAGTAAATACAATTTTTGACTTTGTTTTTAATGCCATTACTTTCATAAAAACTAGAGCAGAAGGACGCTGAAGCTATGCAAAACCTTATTCGGGCAATGATAGTTTCAACTTTCTGAATACTATGGATATACATAAAGAAAATGTAGTTTTCATCTTTTTATCACAAATGGAGTATCTTTTGCAGCAGTCAGTCATTAGTGTTGTCATGACTACTTCTGTCACATATCCATTTTAAAATGAAGAGGTTCCTCCTTGCATATGCTTAGTTCAAATCCATTCATGTTGCATGAGATGTCCAACAATAGTTTACTATAGAAAATTAGTATCCCAGGGGGCTGAGTGGCTAGTATCACGTAATTTTATTTGACGACACATAATTTGTTCTTTTGTAATATATATAGTCAGCAATTATTCAAATGAAAGTATTCCAGAAATGTTGTAATTATCAGTCATAATTGCTGATGTGAAAATAATTTTATTGAATGACAAATCTACTACAACAGCATAATTGAATTAATTTTGCCTCTGATCTTTTCCAGTTTCCACGGGTGCTGTTGATTCTCTAATGGCCAAATAATAGTGTATACAGTTGAGCAGGGATAATCATGCTACTACCTTTGTGTAGAGGAGTCAGGAGGACACTAAAATGATGGCATCTTACCATTCTCACATCTTACTTGTTGGTTCCAGAATAATTTTTGAAAATCAATCTCTTTGTATGCATCGATAACCTTAGCCTGCACACTTTTGTGCTTATGTAATTCTTTGCAGGTGGCGTATGAAAATCCATTAGTGTATATGGCTATAGCCGCAGCATCATTTACCTCCACTGTAGTGACAACAACTGGGAACTGTTCTTACCATTTGTACGGAAGGTATGAGATGTTATGGCCTACAAGATAGAGTTAGAGCAAATAAAAGGGGTGACAACAAGCAAGTAGCTACTTTTATGCTGGAACATACCCTGAGAGGACCCAATAGGAGAAGTTTTATTATTGGAAAGAGTGTCCACAATCAGAGGATAGAGAGGCTGTGGAGGGACGTGTCTTAACAGTGTACTGTACTTTTCCGTCAGGTCTTCTATCTTATGGAACAAGCACAGCTCTTCTTAGTAGATGATGATACTCATTTACTTTGTTGCCATTCGAGTTCTTCAATGTTGTAGATTACTTTGATGCAATAGTTTGCAGGATCTTTCACCATTTTACGAATGCATAATGCTTTTCTTTCATTTTTAGTAATTTGCAGAATCATGAATCCTTCCTATGAACCAAATGATATTTATTTAAATGGTTCCTGTAGATAGTTGTTTCCATGTTGCATTTCTTATTCACATTTGTGATTAATTTTGTCATGCCTTTACTCATTTTGTCTCTTTTCAGTTGTAATTATCAGTCCTTACTGCTGACGTGAAGATAAATCCACGTTTTATTTTTAACGACAAAATACATCATAACAGCATGATTGATTATATTTTCTTTAGTACTAAAAATTCTTTTCACATGTGCTGATGATGCAAATTAAAGAATTGCCATGGTTTAGCGAGGATAATTATGGCGCCTAGCTTTTCCAATATTTCGTTGCTCTGACAATGATTTTTGAATTCGATTGTCTATATTACTTTGATGGCCATGAGAATTAATCAATTGTTATGTTTAGAAAAAACGATTTTTGACTACAATATACTTTAGAAAGTCTTTTTGAGAAGTGTCCATATTAATATTTTGTCTTCATTACTTTTGCATCCCTTGTGTCAATACGGCTCTTACGCATTTCACCAATGCTTGGAGCAATCACTGAGAGTAAATGTGATATAGTTGACTTATGACTACTTTTCTTACTTATTTGTCAGTAGTACGTAATCACTCCTTTTGTCAGTCTAAACCTATTGGCATGCTTTGTTGTCGATTGGTGTTATAAAGGCTTTACACGGCAAGAGACAAGATCTTGCTTTCTTTCAGAATCTTCAAAAACTTGTTACAGGTATTTTGTCTACCTTAATTTTCATTTGTGACTGCTCCTAAATCATTTGATTGTTCCAACAAACTATGAATCACTAACTGGGGACTAAATAAGATAAGTGTTTTCTGTCTTTCTTTGAATTACAAAAATGTGAAAAAAATATTAAAAGATTTTCTGCAACTGGCTCTTTTTATGTGACATTAAATTTACCTTTTATATTTTTATGTTCATTGTACTAAAACAGCATAATTGATTCAATTTTGTCTGTGATATCAAAAATCCTTTGATGATGCATCAATGGCTAAATAAATCAATAGTTGCTAAAGTTTAGCAAGGATAATCATTGCTGCTACCTCTGTGTACATGAGGATAACAAAATTTTCCCACTTGCTAATCTTATTTACTTCAGTTCTAAATGAGGATCTCTCAGTTATCATTCAACTCATCACCCACCCAAAGTATTGTCATTAAAAGCAGAGACTCACCAAGGTTTTGACTGCATTTAATAAACATTGTACAATGTTTACAAAGTTAATGGAACTTGCTCTTTTTATGTGAAATTAAAACAAAGTTGTACACCCAACTGTATATTAAATACAACAGCATTATTGATTTAACTTTCATTCTGGGTTCAACTGGCAGGCAGCTTGACTTCATATAGTATAAAAGAATTAGGAGCCCATGGAAAGTGCGAAAGATCATGCAAATCTCACTAGATGTTATTTGTCACATTAATTAATGGTTGTATGTAATGGCTGAGTACAACTGGATTTGTAATGCTCTTCATGGGGAGCAAGTGTTTTTTCTTGTATCACATTGATGGAAATCAGTCACAATTGACTTTCATAATGATCATTGCATTTTTCTTGAATTTAATACAGCTTCATGAAATGTCTTTGCTTGTGATGATGCCACCGCTCTGGATTAAAGAATTATTTCCCTGATGCTAAAATACTTTTCACAGGTACATTGATGCATCAATGCCCAAATAAATAGTGACTCTGTTTAGCAAGCATAGTCACTGCTGCTATCTTCATGTACATGAGGATAATGAAATTTGCAAACATGTAATTCTTCAATTAGTTCAGTCTATCCCTCTTTCATCATAAAAACTCTGTCTGCACAGAGTACTTCTGTCCTCCAAATCAGAGACTTGTTTTGAATTAAACAAACAAATCTAATATAACAGCATAAGTGATTTAGTTTTTATTGTTTTCAGACTGTTCTTCAAATTCAACCATTCCAAAATAGTACATGTAATGTATTTTTTTTTTACATCTGTCCTTGTTAACGATAAGAGTCACACAAAACTGAAAGATTAAACAATACACACTAACCATACATAACTAACAAAAATAGTTAAATATTATATAACTAATGTCAATAACTGCACATGCATAGTACAAAAGTTCACCACACTTCCTCTTCTCTTAAAAATATCTGTCGGGCGGTCTATGAACTCTTGTAGGGTATTAACAGCCAACCATACCATCATTAGCTGTAGAGTTACTCTAATCATTACAATTTGCGCATGATGGAGGTATAATTTCTAATTCAGACTCAACACTGGCTTTCACTGACTCTTCCATATTACTCGGCTTACCATTTGCAACCTCTCCTTTTGTGGCTGAGTCAGCGCCTTTATCCTTTGTTCATGTAACATTCTCCTGTACCTCTTCCTTCCTTCTAATCTGATCAATGTGACAACGTTGTAGGCTACCAACATTAATTTGAACTAGAAAGGAATCTAAGCCATAACACTCTATAACAGTACCAGGGACCCAATGATAGTAATTATCCTTAAGAATTCTAACCATGACTAAATCACCAGCACTGAATTCCCATTTTTGAGAGTGACGCTCATGATTCTTTTGAGACAGCAATTGGTTTGCAACAGCAGTAGCAATATCAGGCTTCACCAAATCGAGACAAGTCTTGAGGCACCTTTTAAGGAACAGCTCCACTGGAGGTACCCCACAAACAGCATGA